TTGATCCTTTTTATTTAGAGACTCTTGAAATAAATACCAAAAAATATAGAATTTCTAAATATTTATAGAAAAACGTCATAAAAACAATGTCATTAATTTGAATGTCATCAAAATAATGATATTTAGAGCAAAATATTGTAAATTAATGACATTTGACGAAAAGTGTCATAAAAACAATAACATTTAATTCAAACTAATGTCAAAAAAATTCAAATGTCATATTATTAATTGCCAATTATCAATATTTACACCTAATATTGAAATTTATCTATTTTTTAAAAATGTTTCATCATTCTTTATATTTAAACTCTAGATCCTTCTTATCTAGATTCACACCAAATTTCGCCCCATATAATTTAGGGGTGGAAAAGTGCTATTTTCTACTCGAAATTTTTAATCTCAAAACTCAAACGACCTCAAATTTATAATTAATGATAAAAAAATTCTATCCATATTCCGATCCCGCCATACTTTTTCACTAATACTTTTCAATTTTTATTCATTCTTCATTCACACAACTAGTCTCACCTCCCTTGTCCATGTATCATACATCTATAGTCATAGTAGCATACTAGCATCCACTTGTTTTCCCCAATCTACAAACACCCGTACACCTTTGCTTATATTCTTGTCGGACCGGATTTTTTATTTCTAATTCAACATTTGGTATCATAATTGAATTTTAACTAAATATAAATTTATATTAAAAAGTTTCACATTAAGGAGTAAAGGATGAACCACTCCACCACATCCTTTATTGGTTTCTTTTATTACTAGAAAGTGATGCTCGTGCTATGAACGGGGTCTAAGCCCAACAACTTGATTTGTAATGTGTTCAAATATGCAACATTTATTATTAAAAAAAATGGACCAAAAGATATATTTCACCTTAAATTTTTCGTCATTACATATTGTATTAGCATTAAGTTAATATTGCATTAGTACCATCAAAAAATATTGTTGGTGCATAGTTAGGTTACAACCAAAATAACTACACCTAAATGTTTCAACAATTGATATAACACATTGATTTCATAAAAAATCACTACATGGAAAAGAATCATCAACACTTGTAATTTTGAGAATTAACCAAAAATAAATAAATCTCTGCCATCAGACAAAAATTGTAATTTCACACAATTTTTAGTTGAGAATTACACTACCAACAATGCTAAGAATATTAATGATAGATCCTAAAAAATTTCTCTTGATCTTGCAACTGTGGACACTAATCTAACTTTTATTTTTTCAAGCAGATTTTTTTTTTACATGAATGTTGGTGCTTCTTCATCTATACATTTGTACCTTTCAGATAAAGTAAAATAAAACATGATTCAAGAGGAAAGTTTTCGTCTAAACCCATAAAAAGGAAGTGACTCTGATGGAACAGTTAAATACCACTCTAGCCTTTTCAATTTGCTTTGTCCATTTGTATTTGGTCCATGACATAGGCATGTGTTATTGTTAGAAATTCATCCACCTGAAGAGGAAGGCATAACAAAGAATCAGGGATCATGACAAATTTCAACCGAACAAATTAGCGCATTTTCAAATTACGTCAGATAAGCCCATTTGGCCTCAAAAGTGCCATATATTGATGATGATGAGAAAGTTAGTTGTATTATATATAGCCATTGGATGGGTTTGGATGACTTAAATTTAGGGTGAAGAAGCACAATTCATATGCTTGCCTTTGTAGCACACATGGATAAGCTGATTTTGGGAGACTTGGATTGTTAGTTTTTTTTTTTGTTTTTTTGGCCTAATTTTGAATTGCAATTGTAGTCAATTTCTTTGAAAAATAGCCACTATTGATTATTGTTATAACCCTCAATTAATTGCTTATTTTCCAACTCTACATAAATTATTGTTATAGCCCTCAATTAATTAAACCTAAGTCATTGATATCAATATTAGACATGTGACAATTGACACTCATTCAAGAAATAATTTGGGGAAATAAAGATGATAGTTAAATTCTTTTTTTATAAATATGGTTCTCCTAACACTAAGAATTGATTCCTAAATATTGATAAGGTAAAATAAAGATAAATGTGGATAAAATATAAATAGTACAACTCACATAACATATTGTACAATTAAGTACTGCAGTATTAGTCCTTTTTGTTGTTAGCTTATATATAAGGTAATATTACATTCCAATTTCGTATAAGTTGGTGTGTTGAACTGGAGATGATACAAAAAAAATATAAAGTTCTTTAAATCTTATGGTATTAAATTAAAGATATGTTAAATGTATTAAAATAATGTTTAATTTTGTAGTCTTAAACATGTCATTTAAAAAATTATCAATAATAATAATAATAATAATTGAAATAGACTAAAAAAAGAAGTAGAACAAATAAATTAATTACTATTTGGTATTTCGTACTTCAAATAAATTAATTACTATTTTGCAACATTTATACTAATTTAATTACTTGACTTTTCCCCCCTCTTTTTTATACAACTATTTGGTATTTCGTACTTCAAATTCGTAAATAAACGTTTTTTTATTAGGGATTTCTCTACCAAACATCCTTTTCGACATACCAAACTTAATCAATCAAAACGTAGGACTTTTTTTTAACCTCAATTCTCAAATGTCTGCTTAATTATAATGTTACATTATATTGTATGATCCGAAAGTTTAATTAATTTATAAGTACTGGATTAGTATACTTGGAAGTTGTACTGCAAATCTAATTAATGTATCTAAAGCCCATGTTCCAAGGGAGGGAAATCATGATTGTGGATTAGAAAAACAAATTATAATAAAGTAAGGTCATTAGCTTTTCTTTTCTTCCAACTCTGCATTTCCCAATAATTAACATGATCTGCACAACTTTTTTTCAACAATTTCCTTCTTTACAGGTATTAACACAAGTAAAAAAAACCATTACTCCAAATAAACTAACTAAACCCCAATAGTGACAACCCATTAATAATTTAAGGGCGGTCAATTAATTATTCTTTCATTAGAAACAACAATAACGTATCTAGTGAGATTTTACAAGTGGGCTCTGAGGAGGGTAAAATGTACACAAACCGTATCACTATCTTGTGGAGGTAGAAAGACTATTTTCGAAAGACTCTCGATAGCAAATCCAGATACAAAGGAAAAGACAATGAAAAAATTATAGCAAATAATACGTAAGTAGTGCGAAGTCTACCATAAAAAAGCAAAACAACAATAAAAGAGTGATCAATTAATTTTCTAATATTCTTTCATTAGAAACTTACTTTATACATAATTATGTATTCGTTTTTTTTTCAATGTGCAATATTATGGCTATTGAAACCAATTAATACAATGAAAGTCTCAAGTGTAGTGGCTAAGGGAGAACAAGAATTACTTGGACTTCCCAAAAAGGTGTCGATGGCGTGTATCGGATACTCTAAAAGTAATTAATGCAATTTTGTAGGATTTAATACACTTGTATCAATATTTTTAGAAAGTTCAAGCAACATAAGTTTTAGATCATGATCCTGACTTTCGACAGTTATACTAGCATTTTTAGAAAATTCAAGCAACATAAATTATAGATAATGATCTTTAATTCTCAATCGCGACATTTTTTTTTTTTGGTGTGTGTAGAGTTGGCTGGACCCATGAGTACCTAGTTTCTTTTTTCTTTTGTTTGTGTGGCTTCATCATGAATTTGATGATGAATTGAAAACAATAGGTTTAAATAATTTGCATTGTTTTGGGTATAGTCTTTAATGCCCCTTTAGAAATTGATCAACATCAATTGGTACATGCACATTTAATGAACAAACCAAATTCATCATTCTTCTTTTATGTTTACATACACATCATTGTCACTCTTCAATAACTCTGGTGGAATTTGCTGTTTTTAATTCGGCAAATTAAAATTATGGAGAATTTTTTTTATTAGAGTCCCAATGTACTGATTTCTTTGGTCTACCTTAATTTCTGTAAGCTTTATGTGGTGCATATATATTTTTATTAGTAAGAAGTAACAGATAACTTATATTATTAGAGTGGGTGACATATAATAAAAGTCAGTATGCTAAAGTCTAACTACTTGATTAAACGAAATCAAGGAAAATGTTTTTATGAGTTTTTTTTTAGTTATGCACACAATATTTGAAAGTTATTAATTCGATTAATTCAGATTACACTAGTAAAACGTAATAAAGAGAGAAATGATCTCTACCATGAGTTTTAATTTCCATTCCTAGGTGAGATCTTTGTTTTCCGATCGAAGTGTCAAAAACTTGTGTTGCTTGGACTCTCAAAAAAAATGCTGTCAAATTTGTGTCGAATAGTAGCGGAACTAAGTTTTTCACTTAAAATGAATCAAAATAAAAAGAAATAATTGTATGAACAATTCAAGTAGATTTAAGAAGTAGTAATCAAAATAGTTTTTTTTTTTCTAGTCAGCCATAATTAATTATGGCACTAACCAAAATATACAAAATCTATATATTGATTATATATATTGTGTATACAATAGGTAAATTATATGTATATTAAACTTAATATATAAAACCTATACATTGGTAAATATCTAACATTCACTAGATCTTATGATATTTTTCATAAATCCGAACAACATAGATTGAAACATATTTTAGAAATTCACAAAGTAAAAAAAAATAAAAAATTAAAAAAGATAAAAGAAAAACACAAATGTGACCATTCAAGCTCAATACTTTTCAGATCTCACTTATAAGATAATTTCACCGAGTAAGTTATTATTGTCGCGAGCATACATGAATGTACAGCCAAGACACCCTGGCAATATGCAATATATTGTGGGCCTGCAAGCTAAGATAAAGATGTAGTTTTTATGTATTTAATTGAGATCTCTATTAATTTGCCATCTAAATTTCTTTAATATTAATGGTGACAAGCTTCCCAAAAATCTAGCTTTTTTGCTTCCTCTTTTTATTTTAGAGTCCATAAACTGAAGAAGAAAATAAGGGGAGCAAAAGGGTACCCAAAGTGGGGCTTTTTTGGGGTCACCTTTTTTATTTTTCACTGAAAACCAGGGAACAGAATTCTTGATTTATATTCTTTTGCTCAGTTATGCTGGCAGAGCTTTTTTAAACTGATTTTGCAGACTCAACAAATGTTAAAGTTCATGCCTTTGGCATTTTCTGTCAGATTATATTTGGATAAACAGAGATGGTACCACCAACTTCTCTGATTCAATTACTTGAGTTGTTTTTTGTCCTATAAGCCATTAATGTTAGCTCAGAATTGTGAGGTTCTTTTTTTTGTTTTTTTCCAGCTGAAGAAGAAGTCTTCTTGATTTGTAAGTTTTCTGTTTTCTTGAATCTTGATGTTATACAGTAGTAAAGTTTCTGCATTTGGTAAGTGTTTAGTGGTAGCTTTTTAAGAATGTGATTTCAGATTCTTGATACATGATGATAAGATTGTTTTTTTTTTTCTTTTCCCTTTTGTTTATTTTCCAGTATTTAGCTTGGACCACAAGAAGTTGCTCTTGTCTCTTTCACTTTATCATGTTTTATGTTCTTCCAAACTCCACCTCTTGAACTAAAATGAAATCTGGGACCTTTTTTTGTTTGTGTTTGTAACTTAAAGGGGTCCTTTTCCTTCTTATGTTATCTTGATTTTTTCTTCTAAATATCCCTTTTCCCCTAAATTTTTAGTGAGGAGGTGATACTTTTGAAATGATAATTAAGGAGTGGCTTATGTTTAGGCAAATGCCCTGATGAGTTTCTGAATTCTGACACTTTTTTTTTTCTTCTCAAAGGAGAAAAGGTTAATTGAGTAATGGATGAAAAGGGTGTCTTAAGTTCCTGTTTGATTACATCAGAAGGAAGAAGGGAGAGCTTATGTCCAATTTACTTTGGTGTTTCTTGTGCATTTGTTGCTCTTGGGCTCTTACCGGAGCCCAAAAAATGTGATGAGAATTTGTTAGAAGTGAGAAATAAGATGCTTCAAGGAAGTGCTCATCTTTTGGGGTTGCTTGTGTGGAGAGTTCAGAGGGATGAAGCAAGAAATGAAAAGTCTGGATTGTTACTTAAGTTAGCAAATGCAGAGAAAAAAATCGACGAACTGAAGGGGTTAAGAAGGGAGGATGCTAAAGCAAATGAGAAAGTTGTGTGCATATATGCAGCACAAGAACAGTGTTGGTTTAATGAGAGGAAGAAACTTAGGCAGCAAATTGGTGCTTTTATGAATGAGTTGAGAGTTGTTGAGAAGCACAAGGACACCCTTATTGCTGAATTGGATAGCAAATTGGAGGAGAGTAAAGTAATTGTGCAGTCGAAAGATAAGATCATTGAGGACGAAGGGAAAGCGCATCATGATCTCGAAGAAAAGCTGAAAAAGGCTGATGCTATAGCAGAAGAATTGAGGAACACCGCGAAATTTGATGCTCAAAGGCACTCTAATGAGATCTCCAAACACAAGACTGCATTCATTGAATTGGTGTCTAATCAGCGGCAGCTTGAAGCGGAGATGGGGCGTGCGCTCAGACAAGCTGAAGCAGCAAAGCAAGAGGTTAATTCGGTACTTGAGCAAAAGGAGAAGGCTATCTTGATGACCCAAAAACTATCGATGGAGCTAGTCAAAATGCGCAAGGATTTGGAACAGAAAGAACAGATTTTGTCAGCTATGCTGAGGAAATCCAAATTGGATACAACAGAGAAACAAATGCTTTTAAAGGAGATCAAATTATCAAAAGCCAAGAGAAAGCAAGCTGAGCTAGAGACTGAGAGATGGAAGACAGCCTCAGAGTCTAGGTATGAGAGACATTCATTGAGAAATATGCTGTACAAACGTATGAATCCGAAGTTGGAGGTTGTTGCCAGTGGGAAAGGGATGCTTTCAAGTGCAATGATGCTACCAACTGGAAAAAGTAGATCACAGAAGGCTGATTATCTTCTCGACGAGCAACCTGGGGGTACAAAAGAGCCAGAACTATTTCCTCATGTTCCTGATAAATTCTTGACTGAGGATGCTGAAGAAGAAAGTAAGACCATATTCGCGATACACGTGTTTTGTTAATAGCATATTCATCAATCTTAATTAGCGATAATATATTCGCGATACACATGTTTATTCATAGCATATTCATCAATCTTGATTAGTGATAATATGTTTCCTACTTTCCATTGTACAGAATTTCAATATATGGAGTTGTCATTCTGTTTATTTATTATGTTATTTCTTGTGTTCACTTCAATCTTCTGTGCAGTACTCACCGATGATGTTGAGCACTTGGAGAATTGGGTTCGATCAGAGGCTGAAAAGTACAGTGTTGCAGTTGAGCACAGGCATCATCTGGAGCTGGATGCTTTTGCAGAACAACTGAGACTCAAAGATGAGAGGTTAGAAGCTTTTCGATGGCGCCTACTCAGTATGGAACTTGAGTCGAAGAGGTTGCAGTCACATATTGAAGTGCTGGACCATGATCTAGCTCAGCTTCGGCAAGATAATATGAAGTTGGATGCATTGCTATTGAATCGAGAAGTAGAAGTACAATCTCTCAAACAGCAACTCACGGAATATTTTCACCTTCCTGATTCCCAGAAATCCAATGCAAATGCTTGTCCAAAAGAGCAGGACAAAGCCAATCATACAGTTTGGTCCAACGTGACGCTTATAAAGACAAAACTAGGTGAGAAAGAGCAAGAAACAAAGAACCATCCTGAGGAAACCTCTCAAAAGGTAAAAAATGGAAGAAAAGTTGAGACCAGAACAAATAACCCACAAAAAGACATAATTTTGACTCTACAGTCTCCTACAAAGGAGATTGGTGAGGCAAAAGATGGAGTGTCACATCCGAATGCTTCTAAGGCAGAACACTTCAGCACAGAGGATGCTCGGAATGCTGAAACATCAACTTCAGAATGTGATAGCGAAATTAAGAAAAACAAGTCACTGTGGAGGATGGATTTACATGCTCTTGGAGTTTCATACAAAATCAAGAGGCTGACTCAACAATTTGTCATGCTTGAGAGGTTGAGAGGCAAACAAGAACCTGCTGGAAATAGTGAAAACAATGATAATGGACGATCTGGCACTAGAGGATTCCGTGCGTTGATGTCTTTACTGAATAAACAAGTTGCTCGTTACGAGTCCCTTCAGGGGAAAATCGATGATCTATGCAAGCGGATGGTATGTTTCTTACTAAGTATTATTCTTAACTTGAAAAATGATCTATTTTGTTGCTTGACTCATCAATGCTAATGACCTCTTGTTGTGTAATATGCAGCATGAGAATGACCTGAATGTAAATTGTGAAGGTTCAGTTATACGAAAAACAAAGGAAGAAACTAAGATGCTTGAGCACTTTCTTGAAGAAACATTTCAATTGCAAAGATACATAGTTGCAACAGGACAAAAATTGATGGAAGTCCAAACAAAAATTGCTTCTGGATTCATCGTAGCTGCAGAAGAACTTGATACACCAGCAAGCTTTGATGTCAAACGCTTTGCTGATGGCATTAGAACTCTCTTTAGAGAAGTTCAGAGAGGCCTTGAAGTTCGCGTATCTCGAATTATAGGTGATCTTGAAGGAACTTTGGCCTGTGATGGCATCACATATTTCAAGAGATAGTGCTCACAGACGCAGAATCTTGTTGCCCTTAAGCCTTAAGGTACTTTCCAGGTCTTCTTAGCTTAACTTGAGACAGAAAATTTACATGGTGCAGCAGCTTATTCAAAGAATGTCTTCAGTTTTATGGAACCAAATCATTAATCCAGTCCCGGATATACATGTAAATATCCTACAAGTATAAATTCCAATAATTCGCGTACATAGAGAGTTGCTGCATCATCTATAACAGTATCAGTGTTTCACTTATATTCAGCCATTGTTAATTTTTGCTTTACATAGTTTTCTAAATAAACGAATTCCGCCTAGAGGGGGTACAACTTGTGCATGAATCTCTTGGATTTACTTCTGAAAATGATCATAATATATAACATGAGGAATTACTCATTAATTTGTCTTCAAATGACAAATTTAAACGTTCATTTCGATGAGGACAGGCAGGGGCAAAGCGATGGGTTGATTACTTGTATGATCAGTTAAGTTAACTAGGAGTACGTAGTTAGTTATTATTTCATAAAGTTACTTTTCTTCTTGATTCCATATGCCTTCAACAAAGAAAGTGACTCTCTGAGATAATAACTTGAAGTTAATTGACTATCTGAGAAATCAACTCGTTATCATAGAGACTTTACGACATTGCAACAAGAAAACTAACTATTCCTATACTTTTTTGGTTCATGTAATGTGGATATGTAAATCATTATATTCAAATAATCTTGTCAATATTCATTTCTCATTTGCCTTTTTTATATATCAAATCATTGTCCTTTTAAGAAACATTATTGACTTGCTATAATTTTGTTGATTGGTTCTGCAGCATTTTTCAACTATTACATGAATGATACACTATCTGTAAAATTGCAAGTCATCTTATATGCTATCACTTCAAAAAAATAAATATATGAGTGTGCTTGAAGAAGTCAAAAGAATATGGAGTCGTGTACATATTTGACTTGACACACCCCTAAGTTATGCAGAATTGTAATAAATTATCTGAATGTTGATATATGAATATAATTTTACTATAAGGATAATATAATTTTTTAAACTGAACAAGTAAGATTGAACGTAATGGATTGAGAGTAATTAATAGCCGTCAAATTGGTTCGATTTGGTTGTCTTTCATATCCTAGAGATAGCAACTAAAGTTTAGGTGTAATTGTGTAACTACAACTCTACAAGTGTGAATTTTATTAGCAGTACAGTCCAGTCTTCAACATGATTCCTCGTTTAGCCGAACAATTAGATATACTCCTTCCGTTTAAAAATAAGTGTCATCGTAATAAAAATTACTTCTTAAAAATTAATAAATACAATGTTTGGTTTACTAAATTTTCCCTATTTAATAATTGCTTCTTAAAAAATTGAATACGAATATGGAGTATAAGGGTATAGCTGAAAAAATATATGGAATAATTTTTATCTTGAATTTTTAAAGTAACACTTATTTTGGGACTTTTCTTTCTTTACTAAGATGACACTTATTTTAAGACGGCAGAAGTATAGAACTCTCATGAATGATCCTGAAATGTGCATAGGAAATCAATAGTAAAAGGTTTGGTCATGAAAAATACTTATTTGCACCAGATATATATTAAATAAAAATAATTTTTACCTTAAAAATCTATAAAAATAAAATAAAATTTATACTATGACTTAACCAAATAATTTGGAGACTTAATGGCCTTCGTATAGTCTGCGTCTAGGTAGGGCAGTTGTGACCAATATTTTCTTCTTGGGGTCGACTATAATAAATGAACATGGACCTAAGAGTAACATACATTTAATTGCTTCATGACCAACATCCTGTAAAAAACTTAATACTCAAAATATAAAAGAGAGTACACAATATCGAGAAAATTATGTTTGTCATATGGTTTGAGCTTTTGTATATTCGATTTTCTGGAAAACCAAATCAAATTAAATTTTTGTAGCTTAATTAAGCTGTATTAGTATTAGCCTGATTGGATTAGAAATTGATTAATGGTACAGATATTTTGTTGTGGCAGCAGAAGTTTAACTGAGATGTGACCAAACCACATTAATTATTAATGAATTGATTAGTTAATGTAGATAGATAAAGTATTAATTAAGGGTGGAAAGAGAAATTAAGATATCTCTGGTCATCCCATGTGGGAATGAATGTCCTCTATGGCTTAAGCCATCTTCTTTTGTCCCTTCTTTTTGAAACATTTTTTATAAATTCGATTTCGATATTTGTATTAAGGTTTGATTAAAATTGAATTTATAATAGTATAGAAGGGAAGTGCTAAATGGCCAAAAAATTTGGCCAAAAAATTAAAAAAAATATAATTTTTTTTAATTTTAAAACAAACAGATCTTTTTTCCATTTTTTTTAGTTAAAATGTATTTAAGTTAAAAGGGTAAACATATTTAAAAAGTTAAAATAACATAGAAAAAATATCATTCTGGCCAAAAAGATTTTTCCTAGTATAGAAATGGAATTAGCTTTCTGCTAGTACGACTACAAATATAAGTTATTTAGCGGTTAGTATTTTGCCTAAACCTTATCAACTAGCTGTTATACAATTGGTTAGTTATAAAGATATAGTCATTATTACTTGACTAATTTTACACATATTATCAATTCATCACAAAATCTTCATCTTTTATTCGAATTTAAGATTAATAATGTTAGTAAGTTCACAAAATTAGTCATCGATAAAATTGATAGATTTTTTTTTATGGATATCTCCATTGAGCAACACAAGTGTATGTGGTTTTGTTTCCGTAATAGGGATGAACAAGGAAGAAAAAACATTATTGAGAGGAATGATTTTTTACCATATTGGACTGCTTACTGCTTAGTGGACTATCATGTCAGCTCTAATGGTAAAGATAACATTTTAAGGGTATTTGTGGTCCAAAACATAGACGGCAAGTGTAGTTTTGATCGCAAAAATAAATAAAGGGTATATATGAGTTATTTCAGATAGTTCGAGGGTAATTTTGACTCTTTTCCATTTGTTATATTCAAAGGGTGATATAGTAAAATAACCCTTCTATTTATAGTTTCTTAAGAATTGTGTCAAGTCAACCGTAAACAAGTGTTGTTGGACAAAAGGAGTATTAGTCATGTGATTTCTAAATTGCTAATAATCAAATACCGTATTAATTTTATACATAAATAATTTATCTTCTAACTAGCTATCAAACATGATATTATTTATGCAGAATTTAATACTTGCATAACTCATCTCCAAATCAATTATCAAACGACCTCATAATATTTGTCTAAATTATATATTTATGATGTTAGAATAATATGTTCTGTTTATTTCATCAAAAACGTAAGAATTGATCCTAACATTGCCGTCTAAAAATTGAATGCCATTTGGATGTTTCTGTTTCACCGTTATACCAAACCTTACCTCCATGACCTTTTCATAACCCTCTTAAATAATATATAATATATTATATTTATAATTTTCTTTTGTTTAATAAATAACTATATAATATAAACTGAACGGTTGATCTTCATTACCGACTGATGAATAAGTCATTATGTGACCGTTGAAAGTCGTTATCAATTCTTTGTGTTGCTTATGACTAATTCAACATCTTAAAAATTGCCCCCACACATCTTTAAATACTTCTTTTCCGTGTTATTTGTCGTATCTTTCTTTTACATATTGCTTAATAAAATACTCCTTAATTAGAATAGTTTGTGAAAAAAATAATTAATTTTATCTTAAATTTTTAACATATATAATTTGAGATTGTTTTCAGAAATTAAAGATGTAATACATAAATATACCTTTAAATTTCTGATAAATACGTCCTTCAACTTTGAGTATGCACAAATAATCACATGTGGCGTATATTTATATGTGGACACTCAAAGGACATGCATGCTTGTGTTATGCATTTGGGAATCATGACAGATAATTTGAGACTGAACGAGTAATTAATAAATATTAAATGGCCCCCATACCCTTATAGTTAGGAACTTAGGATTAAGCTAATCTCCAACGAAATATCAATATATATATCCGTTACTCGTGAATAAGAAGCGCCAGATAAGAGGAGCGTTTTTACAACCCCTCATTTTTCATGCTTACACATTTAATTTATACAAAATATATAACATGAAGTGAGTGAAGAGTTTTGAATTGTGACATCAAAAAAAAAAAAATTGTAAAATTTTCTACAATATGGCCTCTCATATTCATCATGATGATCATACAAGTGCTACTAATTCTTCTTCATATTCTACTCCAAAACTTTCTTTATCTAAACTTCCAAACAAACCAATTAGAAACAACATTAATAATAACAACAATCATGTACTAGCTAGTAGTACTACATATGCAACTCCACCACTTCATCCAACACTTACAATTCCATTTCAATGGGAAGAGGCACCAGGAAAACCAAAAGTTACAAAGTCCAAAACAGCAAGGTGTCTAGACTTGCCACCAAGGTTAACATTGTTGTTGAATGAGGAAGGTAAAATTACTAATACGCCCTCCCCAACGACCGTGCTGGACGGTCCTTGTAACGTGGGGAGGTGTTTTTCGTCGATTGACGAAGCATCTCTTGAGAAGAAAGAAGAGATTAGGAGTGGTAATAATAAGGAGAATATTATGATGGGATCATGGAGATGGGAAAACTTGAAGGAGAATAATGATAATAATAGAGGAGTTGTTGACAAGGGTAGTTCCGACTTTTCAGGTCCTCTTAATTGTTCTACTTCAAGTGCTTATGATTTTGATACACATCAAAAGAAATTCTTAAGGTTTACAGGGAAAGGAAGCTTCTTCAATTTCTCTCGTAACAATTCGAATCTCTTGGTAAGTTTCCTTTAATATAATACCCTTTCTTAATCTTGGCCTAAATTATGTATGTAAGTTAATTAATTATTAGTATTAGAAAAGGAAAATGTATTCTTCTTTCATCTTACTGCCCCAAAGAAAAAAGACAGAATTCTTCTCATCTGTCCTAGCCTTGGTGGACAGAGTAATCTGATACATGTTGTTGGTGGGAGGTGACACATATATCGTGAAATTAGTCAAGGTGCAAAAAAGAAGAAAAAAAGACAAGTAACTTCTCTCGCTAGACAATAAAAATTTGTAAATCGCTAATTTTTAAAACATACTATTAACTATTTAGCGACAGATTAAGACGAAATTCTAGCCTAAGATGTTAGCTAGGAATTCAATATTAACAGTCACTTTTACTTATATTATAGTAGTAAGTCAAATCAGTACCAAAAAAACATATTTTATTCATTTCAATTTGTTTATTGTACCATGACTGAATTTTTATTTTGCTTGAGTGGCTAATCAATTATAATCTGTTTATAATAAATATATATTAATTATTGTGTATTGATTTACAGGGAGGAATTTACGAAAGCTTTAAGCAAGTGGTTCCATGGAGATGGAGACGGCCAAAAAACAAAAGAGCTATATGAGCAATATATTATATGAATATAAGGAAAAAAATTATCCTATAATTATTTCTCACTTTTAATTAACATGGATTAATTATAAATTGAGTCAATTATCTATAATGACTTTATTATTATGTACTTGGTTAATTATAATTAGTTCATGGAATTACTAATCTGTATTTAGGTGCAATGTACTTGGAACTTGATTATGTATATATTGGTTGTATACGCCATGTGAACTTATCTACTATTTGTACTGAGCACTTACGCAATGAAATTAACATATACATGCACTGTATAAACTTTGAGAAGTCTTTCAAATGCAAGTATACATTTTTTAATTATATTTGGACTTGTATTTGTACATAAAGTATTAACTTAATTCATATTTCACAAGTTACCTAAGTAGTAATAATTTTTTTATAGCTATATAAATATAATAACTATTTCTTCGTATTAGTTGTTCACTTTCTCTTTTACGCTCTTGAGAAATTATAAATAAGAAAACTTTTATGAATATTTACAAATTTATTTACACCTTAAAAAAAGAATTAATTGCAAGGATAAAGTGAAAAAACGTAATTAATTCTATTTTGATTTTGTAAATTAACAAGCAATTTGAGACAACTATTTTTGCAGAGGGAATAGTATCTTTTAAACAACTATTAATGTGGAATCAAAAACTCATCTTTTCAAAAGATACTTGATACAATTTTAAAAACTCAAGTTTCAAAAGATAGAGAGGGAATAACATGTTTAAAAACTCAAGTTTCAAAATATCTATTTTTCTTTTTATACATTTTGCAGAATCAAACAACAGTACTATACCAAATGCAGTTTCAAAAAATGAAATTTGGGGAGGATAAATATTGTACACCTACTTCAGAGGTGAAAATATTGTTTATGATACGTACTCTCTTAGCAAGAACAAATAATCCCACCCCAAAAAAAAAGTAACGAAAATACAATTGAAAAAAACCACATGGCAATCACAACAATAGTAACATAATCAAACTATGTTGTATAAATTAAAACAAAAAAGTAGTTATGGAGACTTGAAGGGAAATTCTTAGCAAGACTTTTTGTATTAAGATCACAACCAAAAGGGGAAAAGATTGTTAAGATAAATAATCAATGCCACATGGCTAGATTTAGACATTGATCATATACCTACATAACTACTAATTGTGATTATGAAATTCTAGCCTATGGTAAACTAAAGAAATCTAGCTAAGCCCTATGGGAAATTAAGGAAATGAAATTAATAAAAATCAGCAGTCATTGCCATGGAAGCCCTTCTTTTCTTGTAATTAGCCTTGAAACATGCTTGTCTTAGCTTCTTTGTTCTATCAGTTAGCTCCATTTCAGGCACTCTCTCAACCATCCTTTGATGCTCTTCCAGCATTTCCACTTCACTTGTAAGTCCCATTTCCTGCATCAAATAGTGTTAACACTTTCAGATGTTATATATACCTATTTTCTCTATTCACTCTAACGGAAGACTAAATAGAGACACGTGGCGCAATTTTATCTGTCGATCCGATATTTAAATATCGGATCTGTGGATAAGATTATGACACGTGTATGTCTGTTAGTATAAAGGGTATATATGCTCTAGTTTTTAGACAACATAGACACCAATGTTCCAAAAGTATGACGTAGAGTATCTGCATATCATTTACAATAGTTCGGGGGATATATTTGTCCTTTTTCCCAATAATTAATATCAAATCCAGCAAGCAAATGAAATGTATGAGCTTGCAAATTCATCCATAATCGAATAAAAAATGTAATATGATAGGTATATACCAATATAATAACTTATATGTTGTTCTATATATACACGAATCTAGGGTACTACTAAAACAATTATTAAGAATAACATATTATATGGAGTATATATGGTCCACAACCAATAAAATTAGTTCTAATTAATCATATTTATATTTAGTTAAAGAAAAAACGTACATAGACAAAATTAAGCACGTACCTTAACGCTATGAATTAGAGTTTGCAAGCTCTTAAGTTTACGATGAGGCCATCTCATTATATTAAGTTCCCTACATCGTTTCTTCAACACTGTCAATCCAACTCTCAACTCTTTTGCTGCTTTTGTTATTGGTACATGAAAATACCTTTGTATTTCTTCCAATTCCAACGTATCGCTCTTCTTATGCCTCCTATTATTATTCCGCTTCTGAATAATATCCATCGAATCACCACGAATTTCATAAAAAGCAGGAGTAGTAACATGAGATTCGCCTAAAAGGTCATGTGCCACGTTCAGAGGCATGGCATTGAAATTTGCATCGTGAATAATGAGGGTATTATTGTCTTCTTGAAATGGTGATGGTACTAATTTCAAGTCAAATGAGCCCAAATCTTGGCATATTTCTTCAAACTCTTCAAGCCCAAAATATGGTAAGTGGTTGTTTTTGAGATCATTGGGTAATTGAAATGGATCAAATTCAAAGTTCAATAAGCCTCCATTAGACAATCTTGAATCTTGTTGCCATGTTCTATTGATAAAAAAAAAGAAAAGAACAATACATTAATTTTTAATCAAGAATTAATAAATATATAAAAGAAAGACGTAACTAGAAAAAAATCGTGTTGACAGCGCCACCCTTAAATGGGAGTACTAAAAAAAAAAGAGAAGAAAAGACATAGCTCCAAAAAATGTACAGTACATATTAAGAAAAAATAGTTTATTAGGTTTTGAATAAATTAAAATTTTAAATACAAATACAATATTTGATCAACGCTACTGAATTTTGTTGAACATGTAAACAGAACTATAGCTTTGAAATTCACCTATCGTGACCTTCTTATCAAGAATGTCCTCTAATACTTTATTTCTAGATTAGCCGAGCCTAGCAAAAAATGTACTATATACCAAATAGTTATAACAAAAGATCGCGAACATAATAGTTAACTTGTTACGTTTATACTGCTTACCTGAAGGTGGAAGGAGGGTATTCTTCTTCAGAATATAACCAATCAAAGTGATCATTCTGATTTTCCATCTTTAGAACATCAAGTACTTGAGATTTCACATCCATATTTGGAAGATTTTTTATTTTTTATTTATGTAGAGAGTTTTATAAAAAATTAATTGAAAAGGCCAATGAGGGGTGTGTATATATATAAATTGGGAAATGGAAGTAATTAATTAATTTGGAGTTCGTGCGAGAGGATTATGGGAGTTACAATGTATAGAAATTATGGATTTTGATTAATGCGCACGGCTTTTAAATATGAATTAGTGTAAAAAATGTGCCTATTAATTGCTTTTGATAATTACATGATTAATTGTGGGACACTAATTAATGCACTATTCATTCTAAATTTCATCTACATACACCACATACAGTATGTATGCGTGTGATTTCGATGTGTGTGTGTTTACACTTAGCAATATTAATCCATGCATGCATGCTTATCTAAAATGAGGTTCACAATTTTAGGAAAAATTCTTTTGGCCAGAAAATTTGACTAGAATGGTAAAATAACATATTTTACACTATGTTATTTTACCATTTTGAACATTTTTACCTTTTTAACTTTAATGCCTTTTAATTAAAAAATAGAAAAAAGATCAGTTTATTTTAAAATAAAAAAGATATTATAGACTTTTTAAATTTCTGATCAAATTCTTGCCAAATTTTCTAGCCATTTAGCATTACCCATAATTTTATTTGACTAAAAAAAAAGAACATTTAATAAAGGATTTATCCAACAAATTTATCGCTAAAACTACTTTTTGATAACTCGTTGCTAATCCATTGTAAAATTGAAAAAGTTTTTTTTTCTTTTTTTGTTTAGTGATAAAAGTCGTCTGACTCCCATTTTCATTGTTGTTTTTTGTATTAAAAATGAATGTAAACAAAAACTAACTTATATACATAGATATATTCTATATGATTATTATATTATTAGTGAATTTTAACTTGTAGCAAGTTACATATGAATGATTTTCCAGCTTATTAATTTCATTTACTATGGATAATTTTCTGTAATTACTTTTTTGATAACTTGATGGTGTAAAAATACGATTTTACATTGTCATTATAGAAGTTAAATTCAGCAAATGCATCTACTTGTTTCCATTATATGTTTCTTAAAATTAGATTATTACTGAGGGTAATATGTATATACTTTTAGGGAAAATTACATAATTACACGACTTAAGATAACGTAATTTTTTTTTAAATTTATCATTTGAATTAATTACAAAAATGTCCTTTTCCCTTTTCTCTCTTAACATTCACTCCACCTTTATAAAATAAATTACAATTTTATTTGTGTACAATGTATCTGGTACAAATGTTATTGTTGATACATAACCTCAATTATTTCAAACCTAAATCAGTATAATGTATCGTTTGCTATGTATCGAACGAACGAGCAATGTGTCAGCGAGTTCTGAAAAATTCAAGATTATTATAATTTGAATAACTTTCGAGATAGAATGGAGCAACATATGCCCGATGGAGTGAATGTTAATTGGAGAATGATGTATGGATAGTAGTGAATGGAGTCAACATATTGGGATTAACGTAGAATGGAAGTTACAAAAACAATTACTCCTACTAACAAGTAGGAGGAGAGTATAATTAGGAATAATTATGAACACAATTAATGAACTCAAATGCGTTCACAAAATACATTTATTTATGTTTATCTGCTCACCCTTGTTTTAGGGTTCTGTAATGGGCTTTTCTGTGCTGCAAATCCATCAAGACCTGTCCAATAAATTGAGTTAGGCCCAGAAATTAGGCCCCAAACCCATATTTTGCAAGTTTTCATGAATATGGCCTCTATTTCTAGTTTTCCTTTTTTTAAAAAAACTCGTATTGGGTAATCGATACTCACATTGAAATCCAACTATATCAGAATCTGGCGTTGCATTGAAACGATAGTTGTCGAGTAATGAGTTGGTGACCTAATGGTGTCTGGACGGTGGTGTTTTGATTTTTTTGACTGTTGACATTTTGGTAAATTTCCACATCACATAACCCTTTAATTCAAGTATTGATAGTTTGATTTTGAAGTTAAATGATTCGACCTATCGATTATCGGTTTGTAGTCATGCAAAATTATTATAAAACTATTGACATATTGACTCAAACT